CATGTCTCTATTCTGAATTCCACCAGTGCACGCTGGATGTTTGTTATGGGCCAAGGGTTTAGCTTACTGAAGATAAAAAATAATTATCTATCATTAAGTTTTAAGATTATTGACTCCATACATTACAAACCCACTTCAGAGAAAAACACCCATGAAATCATTAAATTTCTTCAATACATTTGGAAATCGTTTTTTTTTTCATTAAGTCAAGTTAGATTATGAAAGCAAAAACCGAATGATGAGTCGGGTAAATAACTGACATTTGCTATGGTATCACTAAATCATATGATCATCATATTATGTATAAACACCATTATTAATCTCAGTATATCAGTTCATCATACCAGGGGCGGTCCGGTATACGTAGCCTAGTGGTTTAGACGTTCGCTCGTCACGCCGAAGACCCGTCGATTCCCGACAGAGGTACAATGTGTGAAGCCCATTTCTGGTGTCCCCAGCCGTGATATTGCTTGAATATTGCTAAAAGCGGCGTAAAAACCATACTCATTCACTCATCAGACCAACTGTGTAGACCCGTGAAGATCCGGGGTAGAATAGGTCTTCAGCAACCTATGATTGCCGTAAAAGGCGACTATGCTTGTCGTAAGAGGCGAGTTAACGGGATCGGGTGGTCGGACTTGGTTGATGAATGTCATCGATCACAATTTGGTGGATCGATGCTCATGATGTCAATCACTGGATTGTCTGGTCATGACTCGATTATTTACAGACCGACGTCATATGGCTGGAATATTGCTGAGTGCGGCGTTAAACAACGAACAAACCAAACCAAAACAAACCTACTGTGTAAGTACAGTAATAAGACGATGTTACACAGTGAAACCAGGTTAATCCGGAAAGTACTGTTACCAATAAAACCCTGCTTGGATACGTATTTGTGAGACATTATCTATACAACACTTTCCCCAAGATTGATCCATTCATACTGGTGACCTGACTTACAGTGTCCGGTCAAAAGAGGTTTCACTGTACTACATTCCCAAGGCGTCACTCATGTACTCGTATATTGGTTGGTTGGTTTGTTGTTTAACGCCGGTGAGAGTCATGAACTTTATCGGTGAGAGTCATGTACTTTATCGATGAGAGTCATGTACTTTATCGATGAGAGTCATGTACTTTATCGGTGAGGGTCATGTACCTTATCGATGAGAGTCATGTACTTTATCGTTGAGAGTCATGTACTTTATCGGTGAGAGTCATATACTTATTCGGCGAGTCATGTACTTTATCGGCGAGAGTCATGTACTTTATCGGCGAGAGTCATGTACTTTATCGGTGAGAGTCATGTACTTTATCGGTGAGAGTCATGTACTTTATCGATGAGAGTCATGTACTTTATCGTTGAGAGTCATGTACCTTATCGATGAGAGTCATGTACTTTATCGTTGAGAGTCATGTACTTTATCGGTGAGAGTCATGTACTTAATCGGCGAGTCATGTACTTTATCGGCGAGAGTCATGTACTTTATCGGCGAGAGTCATGTACTTTATCGGCGAGTGACATGTACTTTATCGATGAGAGTCATGTACCTTATCGATGAGAGTCATGTACTTTATCTATGAGAGTCATGTACTTTATTGGCGAGAGTCATGTACTTTATCGGCGAGAGTCATGTACTTTATCGGCGAGAGTCATGTACTTTATCGGCGAGTCATGTACTTTATCGATGATAGTCATGTACTTTATCGGTGAGAGTCATGTACTTTATCGGTGAGAGTCATGTACTTTATCGGCGAGTCATGTACTTTATCGATGAGAGTCATGTACTTTATCGGTGAGAGTCATGTACTTTATCGGTGAGAGTCATGTACTTTATTGGCGAGTCATCTACTTTATCGGTGAGAGTCATGTACTTTATCGATGAGAGTCATGTACTTTATCGATGAGAGTCATGTACTTTATCGGTGAGAGTCATGTACTTTATCGGCGAGTCATCTACTTTATCGGTGAGAGTCATGTACCTTATCGATGAGAGTCATGTACTTTATCGTTGAGAGTCATGTACTTTATCGGCGAGAGTCATGTACTTTATCGGCGAGAGTCATGTACTTTATCGGCGAGAGTCATGTACTTTATCGGTGAGAGTCATGTACTGTATCGATGAGAGTCATGTACTTTATTGGCGAGTCATGTACTTTATCGATGAGAGTCATGTACTTTATCGGTGAGAGTCATGTACTTTATCGATGAGAGTCATGTACTTTATCGTTGAGAGTCATGTACTTTATCGGTGAGAGTCATGTACTTAATCGGCGAGTCATGTACTTTATCGGCGAGTGACATGTACTTTATCGACGAGAGTCATGTACCTTATCGATGAGAGTCATGTACTTTATCGATGAGAGTCATGTACTTTATCGGCGAGAGTCATGTACTTTATCGGCGAGAGTCATGTACTTTATCGGCGAGAGTCATGTACTTTATCGGCGAGTCATGTACTTTATCGATGATAGTCATGTACTTTATCGGTGAGAGTCATGTACTTTATCGATGAGAGTCATGTACTTTATCGGCGAGAGTCATGTACTTTATCGATGAGAGTCATGTACTTTATCGGCGAGAGTCATGTACCTTATCGATGAGAGTCATGTACTTTATCGTTGAGAGTCATGTATTTTATCGATGAGAGTCATGTACTTTATCAGCGAGAGTCATGTACTTTATCGGCAAGAGTCATGTACTTTATCGGCGAGAGTCATGTACTTTATCAGTAAGAGTCAATTACTTCATTGGTGAGAGTCATTTACTTTATCAGTAAGATTCATTTACTTTATCGGTGAGTGATTTACGGTATCAGTGAGAGTCATGTACTTTATCGATGAGAGTAATGTACTTTATCAGTAAGAGTCAATTACTTCATTGGTGAGAGTCATTTACTTTATCAGTAAGAGTCATTTACTTTATCAGTGAGTCATTTACTTTATCGTTGAGAGTGATTTTCAGAAGTATGGCTAAATATTTACCGCGTACACACTCAATATTTCACTCTTGTGATATTTCGCACTCTTGTAAATATTCCTACTTGTTTAGCAATATACTAGTATTTAGTCGCGCACCCACTCAATAACAATGTGTTAATCCCTACGCGGACAGGCTGTACCTGTCAGAACATGGGTGTTTACAGGTGAGCCATAAATTTTGCAATCAACAAAGCGGCGAATCCATTGGACAACTGACTGAAGTCTTGTCAATATCCGCAAGGTGTGCGCGTTAAGATGAAATATTTTCCTTTGTCTTTGGAAAACCGGATCTTTAAAGGGCAAAGAAAGATACGCATTTGGACGTCTTGTTGTCACCAATTAGAAGAAAACATGCTGATATACAGGTGTAGAAAACACACGTATACAGGGCATAACACGACGTGTGCAAATACCCCTGAACGTCCGTGAACACGGCTTTATGCTGGGGTTCCCGACCCATGTGTTAAAGCTAATGTATTTATGGAAGGCTGCCCGTATTTTTTCTGAGTTTAGAAAGAATAAGCTTCACACATTTTATCCATGAGGGAATCTGACCTGGGATTACAACGTGCATAGGCAACGTTTTAACTACGAACATCTCATAAATGAAAGCTATAATTGTCCTGTTTCATTCAACATTCCGTTACAGAAATTACACAAATGGGTTAATAATGTATTGTTGAAAAAATACTTTAATTGGTTTTATTTGTTAATCATTTTGATACAATATCGACCGTCGTAAAGTGGCCGAGTGAGTCTGCTCTTTCACGCCTTTAGCAATCAATTAGGTATAGTTTGTTTGTTTGTTGTTTAACGCCGCACTCAGCAATATTCCAGCTATATGACGTCGGTCTGTGAATAATCGAGTCTGGACCAGACAATCCAGTCATTGATGTGATGAGCATCGATCCACGCAACTTGGATACGATGACATGCATCAACCAAGTCAGCGAGCCTGACCACCCGATCCCGTTAGTCGCCTCTTACGACAAGCATGGTCGCCTTTTAAGGCAAGTATAAGGAAATCTGACCTCCCACAAACTCGAAATCTTCCTCCATATTTCACGCTAACCCGAGAATGAGCAGTCACGTGACCTGTAGACATTGAGGATTAAGTAACCACAGACAAGGTATTTTACATGTGGAAAACTGAGTATTTAATTGATTTCTTAAGTGTATGATCACTTTTATTGTCAACTGTTCTCTTTCATGATCACACGCTGTGGAATATCTAACAACTGTAAACAGTGCCGTTATTAAACTTGTATTCACTGAGGGAGGTGCATCATTCCTTATTCTACCATGACAATACTCCGTCGGGATTCCAGGTTTGAATCCTCAGCGAGGGGAGTAATGGATACGGGTCCAGGTTTGGTTGCCTGGTTGGTGATGTGTCAGTGTAACCCGATGGAGTGGATCGGTGAGGATTCCGGGTAAAAGAATATAGGTCCCAACAAACAATGCTTGTCTATGCCATCTATATGATGGCGGTCTGTAAATAATCGAGTCTGGACCAGACAATCCAGGGATTAACATCGATCAACGCAAACTGGGATACGATGACATGCATCAACCAAGTCAGCGAGCCTGACCACCCGATCCCTTTAGTCGCCTCTTAACACAAGCACAGTCGCCTCCTGAGTTTTCCTCTTCAGCAATATCCCTTATTGTAAATCATTGCAGAAGGAGAGCCATACATTCACGAACAGACTACAGTTAAAAAATATGAATGTGCTTTTATTAAACTTCATTATTTATATGAACTCTCATTTTTTATGCGGATTAGAAAAAGAAAACCATAGAGAAAATATTTACAACTTTTACCATGAGAAGGCCACGAAACTTCGACAGCTTTAACCATATGATGTTCAGATCATGGCAGAGTTAACCGTTGGATTGATTGATTGATTGTTGTTGAACGCCGCACTCAGAAATATTTCAGCTATATGACGGCGGTCTGTAATGATCGAGTCTGGACCAGACAATCCATTGATTCACATCACGAGCATCGATCTACGCAATTGGGATACGATGACATGCATCAACCAAGTCAGCGAGCCTGACCAGCCGATCCCGTTAGTCGCCTTTTAGGGCAAGCATGGGTTGCTGAAGACCTATTCTTCCCCGGATCTTCACGGGTCGTTAACCCTGGGAACTTTTAGGACATTATGGGATATTTCACCTTTGGAATCTCATGGAATCCCGACAACTACAACCATGAGATGATCTGGAAATTACGAGATATTTAAATCTCGGAAATTCACGGAATCTCAGGATATTGACAGCTTCAGCCATACTAGGAATGTTGAATAAAAAATACATGCTCTATCGTTGTGATCCATATTCGAACCACCTTATACATATATTTCAGGCCTCTCGTTTCCCCATACGGACACTTATTTTCTGGTTTGTCTCATTGAATTTATTCCAAACATTGCTCAATGGATTCTGCGTGAGCTGTGAGTTCACATTTTCTTAACAATTCACATAGCCTTTGCTGAGTCGCTTTGCTCCCTTGAGTTAACTTCCACTGGTTAAGCATACTGAAAGCTTGATTCCTCAGATCGTCCCTCTGATTATGTTTGATAGCGTCCAGCTGGTGTGTCTCAAGTCCAAGATGCAGTCCAAATGTATACCAGTCATTTCCAAGCCTCCCAGCAAGAGCGTTAAGGATACTTCCCGGAACAGCTAGAAAGATACAGTAAAATATGTTCATTGCCTGATAAATTGGTAATGTATGAAGATTATAAAGGTGTCTTGTTTCAACATTGTTTTGTTTTGTTTAACGCCGCACTCAGCAATATAACAGCTATGTGACGGCGATGTGAAATCCAGTGATTGATGTCATGAGCATCGATCCACGCAAGTGGAATACGATTGCATGTATCAACCAAGTCAGCGAGCCTGACCACCTGATCCCGTTAGTCGCCTCTTACGACAAGCATAGTCGCCTTTTATGACAAGCATGGGTTGCTGAAGACCAGTTCTAACCCGGATCTTCACGGGAGAATTTCTAGGGAGCGACCATTTCATATTCTGGGCGTTGGTGTGGTGGTTGGGTCTACTGGGACGTTCTTGATAACGTGAAAATAAAAGTGGCCTACACTTTTCATAATACCCTTGAAGATCCGGGGTAACAGGCAACTATGAGGATCGGGTGGTCAGACTCGCTGAATTGGTTGATGCATGTCATCGTATCCCACTTGTGTAGGACCCGTGACGATCCGGGGTAGAACAGGTCTTCGGCCACCCATGCCTGCCGTGAAAGGTGACTAACGGGATCGGCTGGTCGGGCTCGGTGACTTGGTTGATGCATGTCATCGTATTCCAATTCCGTGGATCGATGCTCATGATGTCAATCACTGAACTGTCTTGTCCAGACTCGAGTATTTACAGACGCCGTCATACAGCTGGAATATTGCTGAGCGTTTAACAACAAACAAACAAAACACTTTTTATAATGGTAGAACTCTCTGCTAAACACAGAGTCCATTGTACGATTCCGACAATTTCATAAACATGTGTTAAGAATCACTATTAAAACACGGATCATAGCAGGTGTTCTTGAAAAGGCCAGTATACCTTGCCCAACCGGTATTACCAGTCACAAAGACATTAAAACGACAGTTGTTCACCTGAAAAACACTGGTATGTCAAAATAGGGAACTGCATCAGACATTTTTGTTGTCAATGATGCGGCTACTTTTGAAATGTCATCTTTTAGAACTTTTAAAAAGTTTTACTGAGGCCTTAAATGCTGTAACACTTATAAAACAACTTTTGAGCAAGACTAGTTTGACGCTCTTGAAATCTTCGCAAAATGACCATGCTCGATTGCACATCAAGTGATGTGAAATGTGGACACCAAAGGCTGTAGCTGCTGGACGTTTGCTCCACATTAAGGGAAAGTTCAAGTGATCCCTATTGTCACACAGCCTTGTGGCTCGTCTTTTGTCACTCCGAATCTTTGTGCATAGATCAAAATATGAAACAGATTAGGCGGTTTCACTGGTCGCTTTTATTTCTAGCTCAGGTGGGTAAAAAGCGACTATGCTTGTCGTAAGAGGCGACTAACGGGTTCGGTGACTTGGTTGATGCATGTCATCGTATCTCAATTGTGTGGATCGATGCTCATGATATAAATCACTGGATTGTCTGGTCCAGACTCGATTATTTACAGACCGCTGTCATATAGCTGGAATATTGCTGAGTGCGGCGTTAAACAACAAACCAACCAACCAACCAACCAACTCTTTTATTTCTAGCTCAGGTGGGTAAAAAGCGACTATGCTTGTCGTCAGAGGCGACTAACGGGATCGGGTGGTCAGACTCGCTGACTTGGTTGATGCATGTCATCGATCCCAATTGCGTGGATCGATTCTAATGATATAAATCACTGGATTGTCTGGCCCAGACTCGATTATTTACAGAGCGCCGTCATATAGCCGGAATATTGCTTAGTGCGGCGTTAAGCAACGTAAATAATAAAGCCTTTCCGGTTCTTCGGAAGGCCATTCGTGGGGTGGCCCTGCCGTGGTATTTCTGGAATATCACTACACGCAACGTAAAGCCACACATTATGCACAACATATATCATACATACCATCGGTTGGATCTTGTAGTAATGACGGCAAGGATGATGAAGACGGTATGGCGTCGCGCATATCATAACCTTGATGACGTACCAATTGCGACGTGCATGATAGTTGGTTGAGGTCAACGGGCAAGGACAATGGCGTGTCAGAAGGCTGTGATGGAAAACGTTCGTACACAGATGTACTAGTAACTCTTTCAAAATACCCCGTTTGCGCAGTATTGCCACCATTGTCCCTCTGCATCTGAAAGGTAATTGGCCGAGCTTTTTGATGAACTGATGACATTTCAGGGTTTTGTGATTCACGAATTGATTGTTGGTTCTCATTTTGCGGACACTTTGGGAATGTCCAGGGATTGCCTGGAGTTTTAAATGTTGCAGTTTCTGCTCTCGGCGTTGGAATAGACATTAAGTCATATGTTGTCATGTGTACGGGCAAAGCTGTCGGTTGGGGTGTAGTGATCATGGTGCGTTCAGTTGGGTTCTTCAATGTCCCTGTGTGTGATACGATTGATGTTTTTTCCTCCCTTATGCCATGAACTGTTGCTTTCGTGTGCATGGCTTTATGTCTGGAACCATGCATAAGGTCTCCTGAAAACAAGGAAATCATTGAATAATTACACTACGGTGTTGCTGCGAAATGGTACCTATGTACTACTGTACTACTATGTAAGCTAATTGTTCGTTGTTTAACGCCACACTCAGCAATATTCCAGATCTATGATGGACCGAACAATCCAGTGTTTGATGTTATGAGTCATGATCCCCGTCCTCGGGATGCGATGGTACGCAATGTACCAAATAACCAAACCTGACAACACGATCCATTTCGTCGAATCCTACGACCAGCATAGGTTGCCAGTGACCAAAATAACTGCTGGTCGCTAATTTCTACCTAGACTGCACAGAAAGGAATATCATGGACATTTTATATGCATAGTTCCCAAGGCATTTAATGCAAATATTTTAATTGATAATTTAAATGTTATGACTTCTAAACGCGATAAAGTGGAGCCTACTGTTTTAGAGGTGAGATGAAAAGAGGTTTAACGTCGCGTCTAAGATTATTGCACTATTATAGCGACGTGCATGCACGTGTGTGTGTGTGTGTGTGTGTGGTTGCTTGTACCAATCCGGACTAATGCCGATTTTATAGTGCTTGCCCACTGAGATACCAGTATAACTGCGGCATGGTATCCTAGTATACTGACACCGAGCCGACCAGTCCTTGTTTTAGCCCCTTAATGCCGCAAGGTGACAACGAGTACCATCTTTTAATGTCTTCCGATATGACGCGGCCGGTGATCGAACCCTGGACCTTCCGTTATCCGGGCGGACGCTCTACCACTAGACCATGGAAGCGGTCTACTGTTTTTGAACAAAGCAATAGTGTGAAATCTTGCCCCCATCGTGTGTTAACATAAATTTGACCATACTGGCGTCAGTTAATGTCTAAACATTATTGAGAAATCGAGAAATACTCCCCTCCCCTCCCCTCCCCTCGACGAAAACAATAACTTATAAGCCACAAATATGTAGCTGAAAAGATAGCTTGTTACCATAAAAAAATCCCAGCCCCTACCTCCACCCCGAATATAACTATGAAATGGTCGTTTTCTAACAACTTGACATGACACCTACCCGTGAAGATCCGGGGTAGCATATGTCTTCAGCAACCCAAACTTGCCGTAATAGGCGACTATGCTTGTCGTAAGAGGCGACTAACGGGATCGGGTGGTCAGACTCGCTGACTTGGCTGATGCATGTCATCGATCTCAATTGCGTAGATCGATGCTTATGATGTCAATCACTGGATTGTCTGGTCAAGACTCGATTATTTACAGACAACAAACAAATGACATGACACCGTTTACGGCAACTAAAGACACCTAACGAATTTATTATACCAAAACGTTTTCACTGACTGGTGTGTTTTTCGCAGTGGTCAAAGGGAGACTACTCTTTAAATCTTTGAGTTTGTTTGTTTGTTGTTAAACGCCGCACTCAGTAATGTTCCAGCTATATGACGGCGGTCTGTAAATAATCGAATCTTGACCAGACAATCTAGTGATTGATATCATGAGCATCGATCCACGTAATTGGGATCGATGACATGCATCAACCAAGTCAGCGTGCCTGACCACCCGTTCCCGTAAGTCGTCTCGTACGACAAGCATAGTCGCCTTTTATGGCAAGCATGAGCTGCTGAAGACCTATTCTACCCCGGATCTTCACGGGTCGTTAACCCTTGGAACGTTCAGTAGATAATGGGACAATTGTCCAGACGCGATTATTTACAGAACGCAGTCATATAGCTGAAACATTGCTGAGTGCGGCGTTAAACAAACAAACAAACAAACAAACATTAAATAAGACTTTTAAAAGAATTGTTTCTCTTTTGCCGCACGCAGCAAATACAGGTAATATGACGGTAGTCTGTAGCGAGTCATGTCCCGGGTAGACAAACCAGTGATTGATATTGGAAGCAACTTCACGGATCAACGCCATCGGAGTACGACATTCAATCACAGTCTGTTCCTTTTACTCGCCCCTTACCAACTGCATAGGTTGCATTGAAAGAAAAAACAAAAAATACCTGCCTAAATACTATTGCACCGATTTTGGATAAAAATAAATACATAGCCAGATTGAAAGAAGTGGAAAACTAATAGATACTGGCATACATACCAGGCTGGTCCTGACTTTGATCAGTAACATCCATCAGTCCTTCCATTTCACCATCTCTAGTGTCCACCATGGAATCAACGTTTGATACTGTCTCATTTTTCAAAGGATTTGTTAATGATAACTCACATTCGTGCTTAAGTCCAGCTGCATTCAACGTTAAGGACAGATCAAGTGTTTTGCTATCATAAACAACACCTACTGTTTCCAAGTGTTTGTTAAAAAGACCGCTGAGAAACTGCTGTAGCTGATGAACGGTGAAGGTATGACTGTCATCAATAATACATGTCTTGGCATTTTCAGGGGTCTTCACAAACAAACGTATACGGTGAGAATGAACTACAACTTCTATTTCCTCGTCACTTGTTAAGTCCCGGACGGTTGCACTGCCACCCAAAACAGATCCATTTCTGTACAACTGAAGAAAGAATGGATCAATGTCCATTCGAACTGCAAGTTTACTTTTTAGGTCTTCGAGTGTTTCTGGTTTGAAAGCTGTTACTTTATGACTGGTAGTTTCGCCGCTGTTACTCGTATGTATAAAAGTCACTTCCCGTGGTGTCCTCATTTCAACAAAAAACAATCCTTTTGGTCTTGCTTTTAGCAGATCTGAAACCTTTCTCAAATCTGTCAAATTCCTTTCACCAAGTGAGAGCTTCATACCCACGGCAGGTTTATGAATGATCTTCGAAATAGATTGCTTTAGACATTCAATCGTATCATCCTTGTTGATAATTGTCCTATAAGGTCGTTCATCAAACTTAAAGTTCACGAGTATGGTGTCTGAACGAGTAGAAAATAGAGTCAAATCATATGGTTCACTTTTGTCCATGATAATATTCCTTCCGCCAATCTGTCCTATTAATGTGTCTCCTTGGAGAACATCTCCAGAATCACTAAACTGAAACGTGACTCCTCTATGGTAAAGGCCCGCGAACTCTATTTTCAGCTTAGATCTTAATAGGTTGATGGTGTCACTTTTGAAACAGTTAACATACAAGATCTCTTCTCGCTTTTCTTCAAGAAATCTATGAATGCGTATCTCTAACTGTTCGTCAAGAAACAAATTCAATCTATCGAACTGAAGCAGAGCAAGTTCGCCGAACTCTCCAGTTTTCAGAACTTTGCAAGTTGTTTTCTCATCGCCTTGTATATACACTGCGTCAACACGACGCCCGGTTTCATCATAATGTATGCCAAATAAGTCCGAAATATTTTCATTCTGTTTCATACTAATGCATACAGGATACTGGTCACAGCCAGATATTACCATAAATACAACTTGCAGTTCTTGCAGCTGGTCAACGGAAACGACTATGGCAATCTTTTTATTTTGAAACTCTCTGATAACTGTGTTACCGGGACAAATATGACTTTGTTCTCCTAAATGACTCTTGATGCCATCATCTATACCTGTACAGCGAATGAGATCTCCTTTGACATACGCATTGCTCTGTGTTCTCATATCGAATACTGTAAGCTTGACAATGGTAAATTCATCAGGAACACTTCCGTGACCTGAATCGATGCTTTGTCTGTATGTGTTGCTTTTAACTGAAAATACAAAATTTAATGAAAAATACTTTATTATATGTGTAGTATAAACTGCAATTATAATCAAAGTAAACATATTAATAATTACACATTATAAACAGAAAATATAGCCATCTTCAGGTATAATGCACTTTTGATAATGAAAGGTCCGGTCCCAGCAAATACAGGGATATTTTTTAAATATAAGGGCAAAGCTGTTTACTTTTATTGCAGAAAGGCGTCTTAGAGTTTGGTTGGGTGTGAATATCTTCTATCTGAATGTCAGGCTGGTTTTCGCCAAAACTATTCAACGGTTGGCAATTTATTTATATTGCAAGCTTCATGTTCCAAATATTTATGTATACTTAGGGGTCGTTTTTTGTGCGTTTGTAGATCTAAAGAAAGCTTACTATTATGTAGAAAATAAAATATGTTTACTTCTCACCAATGGGAAATAGTTTTTAGTTCTAAAAGATATGTATTCATTAAGAGTGAGTGAGTTCAAAATTAACGTCGCATCAACATTATTTCAGCCAAGTTGATATGTTCACAAGTGAGTCATGAATGAAAGGTTATATTTAAAAACAAACTTTATCAAACATATATGGGCATAACCATTTCATTTATACAGTTTTAAACAAGGCTTTAATTAAATCACAATCGGGTAAAACACAGTGCTTCTTAACATCTAGTTGTGTACGCATATTGAGGGTGCATATTGAGTCCAGTTTTGTTTAGTTTCTTCATTAATGGGCTCGTCACAGAACTATATAATGAATGGCATCATGGTGTGTTTGTTGCACAAAGTAGTATTGATTTAATGTTACTTCTATATGCTCATAATATTATAATATTTTCCACAAATGGTCTATAATATGGTCTTCAGAATAATTAAATGTATTACTTTTTTTCCAACAAATGGGGATTGGAAGTTAATTTGTGAAAAACAAATGTAATTGAAAAAGGGGGTATCATTGCCAAAAAATGAGAAATGAACATATAGTAATTTCCCTTTAAGAATAGTTACTTTTTATAAATATGTACTATAATAATATTACTGTCAATATGATTATTATTTTCATATTGTTATTAATTTGTTTGGTTTTCCCAAGATGTAGGGATTAAATTTATTATTATGCTCTTTCAAACAGAGGTTACAGGATATTCATAGTCAAAACTGGCATGACAGTCTACTTCTAAGCGTTTTCTCAGGCATTACAATTATATGCTAATGAATAATTTAGTTAGAAACATCTCAATTAACATGATTAAAACCCGGACAATCTTAACATTCACAGGACTTAGATGAAAACCAAACATTATTGATTTTATTGACCTGCACGGTTTTATTGACTCGCAAGGTGACGAGTAACATTTCTTTAACGTTGATGCATACATGAATATAAACATCTTAAGCACTAAATTTTTATGTCAATTAAAAGTCAGTTGTAAATATGGGTTATTATTTAATCTTATAAACAAATCCACAATACTCACATTGGTGGTCGTCTTGTTCAAGGAGGAGGGGTAAGTTGCCGATTATACCTGGTACATAGCTGCCCTGGTCGTCCACCCGCTCTCCCATTTTCGGCAAAATTGATTTATCAGAAATTAGACTTAACACACGTCGACATTACATCCCTTAAAATATGCATCAGTACTTCAGTGAACCCAGAGCGTGGGACTGTTGTACAATGACACGCGTCCTTTCACCGAGCGAGTATCTGGGTATCTGGCTCAAGTCACCCTGCCCCAGATACCAAGGAGTGATTTGGTAGATTCCCAGATCGTAGATATGCATGTGCTAGTCACACGTAGGGTAACCGCTTAACATGTTCCTCTTGTAAAACGTTCCTTGTTGACTTTTACTCCTTTTGAATTTTTCCTCACTGATTTACTTCCGCGTCAACATTTCAAGGGAGGTAAGTGCTTCAGATTGTTGAATCTGTGTTTTCGCTGGTATCACGCAAAATGCGGGTTCAAATACCAGCATGACCATACCATGCAAGGCTAAACTTTTTTGGGCTTTTACTGAAAACAACTTTATATGAGTGTCAGTGCCAAAGTGGAAAAGTGTCTTTTTTTAACTGTCCACCCGTGAAGATGCGGGTTTTTTTTATTAATGCTATAAAAATAAACTTGTGGCTATCCGTTTTAATTCAAAGAAATGAACATAGGAAGCTGTGAAGTTTCGCAACTTAACAAATATTAAAAATACGAGTGTATACAATATTAATGATACCAAGTCAGCTCATACAAGACGTGTATACTCAGCGACAAAGTAACTGAACACGTGGTAAAGTCTTATTTATCATATATTGAGACTATTTAGATACTTATTACTCACAACTACTCTCTATGTGGATCGATGCTCATGATGTCAATCACTCGATTGTCTGGTCCGCCGTCATATAGCCGAAACACTGCGGCGCTAAACAACAAACAAACAAACTTAAGATGCAGAATCCGCCAAGATTTACTCGCTTCTCCAAATGACGATATGATTGATTAGAATAGGATCAGTTTCTTTTCTCTTTCAATATACATGAGTGACACCTTGGGAATGTAGTACAGTGTAACCTCTTTTGACCGGACACTGTTAGTCAGGTTACCCGTATGAATGGATCAATCTTGGGGAAAATGTTGTATAGATAATGTGTCACAAATACGTTTCCAAGCATGATTTTATTGGTAACAGTACTTTCCGGATTAACCTAAATATCCGGGGTAGAATAGGACTCAGCAACCAATTCTTGCCGTAAGAGACGAATATGCTTGTCGTAAAAGGCGAATATGCTTGTCCTAAAAGACGAATATGCTTGTCGTAAGAGACGAATATGCTTGTCGTAAGAGACGAATGTGCTTGTCGTAAGAGGCGACTAACGAGATGAGGTAATCAGGCTCGCCGACTTGGATGACGCATTTCATCGTCTCCCAATTGAGTAGATCGATGCGCTTGATGTCAATCACTTGTTTGTCTAGTCCAGACTCGATTATTTACAGACCGCGTAATACAGGTGGAATATTGCTGATTGAGGCGTTAAACAACAAACCAAAAAGCCAACCACCATGCTCGGAGTTGAACTCGCAACCGACTTATCTTTATGTTTACAAACAAGTAATGACAGTCGTCTAACAAAAATAACTGTAGAAGCAGAAACGGGTGATACGTCCAAAGGAGGTGAATGCTATTTAAATGATAGTTGTGTGAACCCATCACACTTGATCATTAAATAATAATTGTGTGAATCCATCACACTTGATCATTAAATAATAATTGTGTGAACCCATCACTCTCTGAAATAAACAATGATTACAACTCTTAAATTGGCACTTACGGTATAAAAGGACAATGAACCTGAAACTTTTCATTATCGGGGCATGTCTCTGTTAATAATCATTGATAAAACAACACTTACCGCTCATACCGAAACTATGTTGTACAGAAAAAAACTTGTTATAATGACGAGTCAGCATAGTCATTTTCATTGACCATGATTTTTAAACAAATAATACAGTTAACGAGTCTATATATTTTTCAATTATCTATACTATTTAGCAAATCAAAACATACGCAGTGTTTACAGTGTTTAGAGAACGATTACTAATATTATATCCATCATACTCTTTAGCCAAGGGGGCACGGGTGGCCCAGTCGTCTAAGGCGCCGCGATTCGCTGTGCAGAGTTGCGTCCCTTGGGCACGCCAGAAACCTATGATTGTGGGTTCGAATCCCGGTTCGCCCCAATTATGTTTCTAGGTTTGTCAGCACCATACCCGTGCTCGTGGGTTTCACCGAAGTGGTAAACGTCTGAGACCTGCATCACTTCGGGCTTTCCTCCCACATAATAAGCTGACACGCCGCGATATAACTGGAATATTGTAAAAATCGGCGTTAAACCGAACTCACTCACTCACTCACTTTAGCCAAGGGATATTGTCATTTGGACACTTAAAATTACTTGTGATGTCCTCCCAGCATTTCCTCATCTTTGCCGTCGCGATGGTGTTTGCAAAACTTCCAAAGAGAAGTGAGGATCGGAGACTGACCTCCACGACGGTGTCCACCCGATCCGTCTAATTTCTGAAATTAAGGTAGGTAAAATAATTCTACGGATCGGGAAAGTATATTCGTGTTTACTTAACGTGTCAGTTAGAGTATTCCATTATTTTTTCTCATGGGGGTGATAGGGAACTTGACGCTGTTAGGGACAGTATATGACACCTGACACGAGGACTCGGTTATTTCATATTCTTTATTCTGTTGTAACAAGGATATAACAAATTGATACATTTTCACATAGATACAGCAATAACAGCGTAATAAAAAATCAATATATATATTATCAAACATTTAGTTTAACTTGATGATTCTAACACTTTTCGTGATCTTTATTCATAAAAACGTTTACAATAGCCACGTTAACATACATACACAAACATAAATAAATAATCATAAATAAAAATATTTATCAAGTAATCGTCATTCATCAATGATCTTTATTAATTAAAACACTCGTTCTTCATGTTCAATAAATACATCATAGTTTCAGTCTCACATTTCATTCACAAATGTCACCACACACCAAGAAAGTTTGCCACATGATCAACATAGTCCATGAGGACTCTCTCACCACGTCTCAGTCTGTCCTTTCCCCGTCGAATCTGCTCGTCGATCTCAATGTACCTTCGTCGGCGTCGTGGTTCACGGGGATGACCGGCAAGTTGTGCAATCTTTACCTCAGTAACTGACTGTTCTCTCTTGATGAGTGTGATGCATATGAAGCTGAATATGTTGGGGTGGCAGTTGTTGGTACGTTGACCATCATTCTCATAGTCCAGGGTCCTTCAATCCATTGCGTCGTCACATAGTCCATGTATTTAGTCACATGTTCCCCACCGGGACTCTCGGCGATAGCATCAACCCACACATCTTCTACTGAATCTAATGGAACAAGGGCAAGGGCTTTGCTTCGTGTCGCTACCTTTCGGAACTCGTCATCATAGTTGTGAGATAATGACGGGTGGTAGTGGTCTGTTGCTTTCATCAGGACATCGTTTTCTGTTGTCAAAGTACCTAAACATAAAACCAAACGATTACACACTTATAACACAAAATACAACACTATTAACCAAATTGTTCAATTAAAAAAATACATGAACATAAAACAAAATGATTACAACATTATAACAAACAAAATAGAACATTATCAAATTAAAATATTCAGTTAACATAGAAAACGATATAATTTTTTTTAATAATAATGTTACCTTTGCAACTGCGATCAACACATCGCCAGTATTTTGTGTCATTCTTGGTCTTGTTGACGCTAAGCTTAAACCCTCTATGATAAGCAAATAGTGAGCCACGAGCATTGGAAAGATAGCCGACTTCAACTGCAACGTTGGCCATAATTGAAATAAGTGAAATGTTATTACTTACTTACTTTGGAGATTTAACGTGCGCTTTCCGACTGATGCGTATTTCGTACACGGGCCCGGCCAGGCCATTTAATGTGTTTCCGAAAGGGGCGAAAGTGGTGTGTGCAACCCAAGAGGGGGCTTTAGGGGTTGCTTATATAGAATTTGGGAATTTTGAGATTTGGAATAGATGCCGATGGGGTTGGGGAGTAGAACTAAGGGAGCTGGGTATGGTGGATGTTTGTTTGTTTATGTGATTTTGATTTGGTAGGTTATTGTGTTTTTAGATGCGTTTTATTAGTTCCGTTTTTATTAAGAATACGCCTAAGGCCTTGAAGTTTTCTAGTTTATTTTGTTGGTTTAGTATTGCTTCTAGAGTGAGAGCCTTGTTTAGATTGAGGGTGGTTGGTAATGCGGTTCGATGTGTTAGGTAGTGTGTGCAGTGGATGAGTGCGTGTTCTGGGGTTTCTAGTTGTTTGCAGTGTGGGCAGTTACCCACATGTAGTGTGTTTTTAAAAAAAAATTTAGGTGGTTATTTAGGTTGGTGTGTCCTGTTTGGACTTTAGTGATTACTCTGTCGATGTTTTTTGATGGATGGAGAATTTTTGGTTTGGTTAGTGGTTTGCTGAGTATTCTTTTGATTTGGCTATTTAATTTCTGATTTTGAGATGGGTAAGTTTAAGCTTATTTCTGGGATTTTGAGGGATAGTTTGGATGCCTATCGGCGTTTTCATTATCGTATATTCCTACGTGGGCGGGTATCCACAAGAAGGTTATTTGTTTTCCTGCCTTAGTTAGGTCGTTGGAGCTTTTAAGTATTTGATTTAATAATTTAGGTCGGTTTTTGGTATTTTTGTTTTGGAGGGCTTGCAGTCCACTTAGGGAGTCGGTAAGTATTAGGATTTTTTTTGTGGTTTTTGGATTCTTGATTATGGAGGGCTGAGGCCATGCCCATTAGTTCTGCCGTGAATATTGATTGGTTGTTTGGGAGTCGGAAGGATTGTGTGGTTTTGGTTGGTTGTGTGGTATGGACTCCGAAACCTGTGTGTTTGGAGGTCGGATCTGAAGATCCGTCCGTGTAAATGTGACACCAATTTGGCCAATTTTCGTGTATGTATGCTAGTCTGGTGGTTTTAGCTATGTTTGGGTCGGTTTGTTTATTTATTTTGCTAGCTAGTGTTGTGTCAATTTTGGGTATTTTAAGTTTAGGGATGAAGATATTTGATTGTTTGCAGTTTTGTTTAAGATTTTTAATTTGGTGTTCATTTAGGTAGTTTGTTATTCTTTGGGATATTGGGGTAAGTAAGGGGTGTTTACGATTTAGAGCTTGGTTTTTGGGGCTGATATTTTGGTTTATTAAGTTTTGGATGAGAGGGTTTGATTGGGACGCGGCCCAGAAATTTAAGCTTAGCTGTTCCCTGCGTAGACTTAGTGTCATTTCTCCTGTTAAGGCCTGAAGTGAAGTGTAGGAGGTGCCATGTTGGGTGCGTGTAATTAGCTTGAGAGCCTGATATTGTATTGAGTCAAGTTTTTTAGATAAAGAGTTGTTTAGGGTGTTGTATATGGCGCAGCCGTAGTCTAGTTTTGATCTAATTAGTGATATGTAGAGAGAGAGGAGGGTATCTTTGGAGGCTCCCCAGTTAGAGCCAGTTAGGCAGTTTCAGGGTGTGTTTAACTGACCGGGAATAAAACGTTCTCACCCCGTAACCAGTGTCTTGGACTTTTGATGTTGCCTCCACACTAAAATCGGTTACATTAGGGTGTTTAGGTCTTTACTGCATTTAGTTGTTAGGTTTTGGATGTGAGCATTCCAGGTGAGATGTTCATCGAAAATAAGTCCTAAGAATTTGGTTTGTTTTTGAAATTTGATTGTTTGGTTGTTTAGCTGGAGGATTGGGAGGCGGGTTTCATGTTTTTATGTTTGAATACTATTCCTGTTGTTTTTTCTGAGTTAAGGGAGAAGCCCCATTTGTCAGCCCATTGTTGTATTTTATTAAGAGATTTTTAGAGTAAATTTTGGGCCATTTTAATGCTTTTAGTGCGGATCCAGAGGGCTCCATCATCCGCGAATTTTGATGTGTTTACTTTAGGGGATAGGCCCTCGAATAGATCGTTTATCATTATATTGAAGAGGGTGGGGCTGAGGATACTGCCCATGGGAGTGCCATTTTCTAGGGGACATTGGTCCGATAGTGTTTGGTCTATACCCACGGTTATTTTACGATTGTTTAGGAAGTCCTGGATGTAGTTTAGTGAAATGTTATCGAAAAGTGTGATATATATACCTAAATAAAACAAAAGCGGCAAAGATCACCTTTGTTTTATATAAAAACATCAATTTATTTTATAAGCTCCTTGTAAGGTCGCAACTTTTGAAGTAATGTTGTCATAAGTAATCTCCGAGCTCAACATGTAACGTTTGACTCATAAATATAAAACAAACATATTTTGGGTTTTCATTTTTAAATCATATAAGCTTAATCTCCTCATCTTTTTACTGTAAGCCTCTTAGTTGCTACCATCCGTTCACCCTTATAAATTAATTAGTGAAAGTAGATGCGCCCAGTGAGGAGTCATGGTTGAGTGGTAGCATATATTCGACCGATCGGGAAAAACCCAGACACTTTTTTTCTACAAACTGAAACATTTTAATTTCAGAAATTCGACGGATCGGGTGGTCACCTCCACGACTAGTACCTCCATCTCAGAGGCGGTCCAATTAGCCTTGCGGGCCTTCTTATTTTTTACGTCATCTGATGCTTGTTGGCCTCGAATTTCGTTGTTTATCGTCTGCGCCTGGGAAATCCCCATGACGTCATTGGGAAAACACCCCGCTTTTCTATCTCCAACACAAATGAGTTCCCTGTCAGAGTTACGATAGGTATCGTAGCTCTGAGCGATCTGCGACAGGTTTACGATTGTTTCGAACATCTATCTTGTCTTAGCCTTAAGATATCTTATCTTTGAACATAAGAAGTTAAGATTTAGCTTAGCTAAGATCGTTTCGAAAATCTAGGCCCAGGCACCTTTCGGAAATGGAACCTACACTTTCATTCATGAGGTAAAGTTTCAAGTATATTATTCTGTGTATCATCCATTGAAATGTGAAGAAAGAAAATTAAGATATTTCAACCCGACAAGGTGTCGCAATGTTACCAATTTGTGATATCATTAACAGTGAACAACGCCTTGTAGTAATGTATATGTGACGTCATACCGTTTCAACTGATCAACCAGCAATAAAGAGCTGAAACGCACATGTGAATATATAGGAAGGTTCTTAAAGACGTGTTTTCTACTTCAACAGGGGCAGGGTGGATTGGTGGGTGTAGCCAACTGGTTAAATCATTCCAGTCACACCATCTGCCCGCGTTTGACCCCCTACACGGATACACTTGCGAAGCCCTTTTCTTGTGTCTCCAACCATTATATGTTTGGAATATTGCGGAAAGCGGCGTAAAACTCGACTAATTCTACACCTTAGGTTAATATATATTTACATTGCTATATTTAGTTTGTTCATATACCGGCAATATGTCCGCAGTTCGCGTTCCCTTGTCTGCTTTGTACACCTTGTACAACAATATGACTGCTGGTATTCGTGAAGCTTTAGAACTATACGGCGGTGAGGAAGCCGAGCGGTTAAAGCGTTCACTCGTCACGCCGAAGACCCGGGTTCGATGTCCCAGATGGGTACAATGCGTAAAGCCCATTTCTAGTGTACCCCGATGTGCTATTGCTTGATTATTACTGAAAGCGGCAAAAATCAATACTCACTTAAGAATAATATGATTGTAATGTCCGATTGCCCTGTCCGTTTTAACCTAGTGTATACCAACGTCAGAATAACATCGGTTATACGTGTAGATATGTAAGGAACCCATTGCTTATCTTCCAACGAGGGGGGTGGTAGTTTAGCCTAGTGGTTAAAGCGTTCGCCCCTCAGGCCAAAGACCCGTGTTCGATTCCCGACATGGGTACAATGTTTGAAGCCCATTTCTTGTGTCCCCTGCCGTGATATTGATGGAATAAAAGCGGCGTAAAACCATACTCACTCACTCTTCCAACGAAGGTATTCTCATGATCATGTTTCCTTGAATCGCGTCATTTCACAAATTCATCATAATACATATAACACGAAGGTCAAGTGACTGGCAAACTATTGATTAATTTTTGTCCTTGAAGCTCCTATTATTGTTAAAACATGAATTGTAAAATTAGAAATCAGGTTCAGAATGAAAAACAAACTTTCTTAAACATGTTATGATTGTTCACGTCACAAGTAAAACTATTAATGATTAAAATTCGAACCTTCAAACGGTCTTTCACAAAGAAATATCATTGTTCTCGACTTTACGCTGTTTAGTTCTGTAGCGACTTGATTTTGTCAGAAAACAAACTTTACAAATATCGACTTGATTTTGTCAGAAAACAAACTTTACAAATATCGACTAGATTTTGTCAGAAAATAGACTTGACAAATATCGATTAGATTTTGTCAGAGAACAGACCTAACAAATATAGACTAGATTTTGTCAGAGAACAGACCTAACAAACATAGACTAGATTTTGTCAGAAAACAGACCTTACAAATATAGACTAGATTTTGTTAGAGAACAGACCTTACAAATATCGACTAGATTTATGTCAAAGAACAGACCTTACAAATAATTATGAATAGAGATATGTACATCGTTGTCTCACTGAGCAGTTTCTCAGTTGTATCACGGCGTGTCAGCTTGACAGAAAAATGGTGTAGATGTTATATTGAATGGTTTCCACTTGCGGCAAACCCACGAACTACACGAACTACGGTGACAAACCTTTTGCGAAACAAAACCAAGAGTTTTGAGTAAAGGAACATATTCTCGCCCATGGGCCATATAGTGTAAATATTAAGTTTTTGAACAATTTTTCTTTTCATTTTTACTTCCTTAGTATGTTCCCATGAAAACAGCATGTTTAATTTTGTAAATACCTTTGACCGACACTGTGCAAAGACCTAGAGTTTCTAGACTATTGGGTTTCCAGAATTAAAATGGGACGTGTTCTGTATATTACCGACACACACATATCCGACAATAAACTTTGGTTCTGTTTTACCCTGGTCCCCTTCAGGAGCAGAAGGTCTCTAGTATCCCATGTTTGGCGTAAGAGTCGACTAAAATGAGATCGTGTGTCATTGTGACTATAGCGTCAATCAACATTCACTTACTCACGCATTGTCAGTGACGACCACCCGATCCATTTAGTCGCCTGTTACCCCACGGGGACTCCGGGTTAGAAAAGGTCAACTGCAACCTATGGTGGACGTAAGGGTCGACTTTATCGGGTTGTCAGGTTCAGTGATTTGGTTGATTGCGTGTATGTTGCTGAGTGCGTCGTGAGAAAACAAACAAACAATCTTACGACCAGCTTAGGTTGCTGGGGGCCTATTGTAAACCCCGAATGTCCATGGGATTCAACATTAAAACAACAGAAAATAACAAAGGAACAGTTTGCAAATTTTAATTCTGTATAATAACATTTTCTATAAAATGTTGGTCGGATTTCTCAAGATAAAACCGCTTCTCCCCGATTAATATCCTGCAAAGAAAAGGATAAAACATTTGATGAAATTGGCAAATATATGTGGCTTTTGTATAAAAATGAATGAATCGATCATTGTTCTCAATAATGAGGAAGTTCCAGTTAAAGAGTTTATGAGTTACGAGTTTGTAGAAATTTACGACAGTGGTATGGTAGAGTAATTCGAACCAGCGGCCAGCTGATTAAAACGCGCCTTAGAAGCTGATCTTCGAGTACATTCACCGCCTTTGTATTCAGTATGTTTGTTTTTTATATCAGTGTATTTATAATTTCTTACCACGGCCGAAGCCTCCAAGACCTCCATGCAGACCTCCAAAGCCTCCATAACCCCCAAGACCTCCATAGCCGCCGTGACCTCCAAGGCCTCCATACAGGCCGCCTCCTAGTCCTCCGTAGCCGCCATAACCCCCTAGACCCCCAAGGCCTCCAAGACCTCCTAGGCCACCATATCCACCCAAACCCCCAAGACCTCCCAAGCCTCCGTAGCCGCCATAACCTCCAATTCCTCCTAGGCCTCCATGCAGACCTCCAAAGCCTCCGTAGCCGCCATAACCTCCAATTCCTCCTAGGCCTCCATGCAGACCGCCTCCATGCAGACCGCCTCCAAGACCTCCTAGGCCTCCAATACCATGTCCAATGCCGCCGATACCACCATAGGCTGGCTTACCCAAAGTAGCAACCATTAGGCTGGCAAAAAAAGCGATGGTGATAAGATTCATCATGATGACTGGAATCTGGGGACGAAATATTCGTTCATAAAAATGTAATAGGCCAAAAACATGCAGAGTGTAATTCTCATTCGTATCAAGGTGAGGTGGTGACAAAAGATATAATTTCTAAAAGGTAGTTAATTTCTTTAATTGTTCATTTAACGAACTAAAAGAGTTCTTATCATTCCACGTACTTTTATGTCCAGATAGTTTCTTTTTCTTCTGACTGCAGACATGTTGAGCTTTACAAAGAACCTACATGTTCCTGTCTAGTTTCACTGATGAAACCTAATGCCCTACCACATGCGTGATATATTAGCGAGTGAGCATAATTGTACGCATTTAAGCAGTTTCATGACGGGGACCAAGAGAAATGGACACATTGTACCTTTGCGGGAATCGAGCCCTCTAACCTCAAGGCTACCCCGACTTAAGGTTCACAGTCGGGGAAATTAAAATGTGCAAAAGTTATAAATAGGTAATAGAAAAGTGTTTAGTCTAATGTGTACTATGTTGGTACATAGCTGCCATGCAAACATTTGACGTCTTTGGAGTCTATAGCTAGCATTGGTGAAGCTCTTTATCCACATTGTGTTATTGTGTCACGTTATGTGATTGGAGTTTGTCACCATTCCTGCGACATGTTTGATGTAGTCATTTCTTTCAAATTGTGTTAAAGTCATTGTCGCTTTCCCCTAAAACCAGAGGCATCGCTCCATAAATACTAAATTTGTGCAAAAGGTTGTTGGAGACACTTTATCCTGCGCCTCAATGTTTAAAGGAAATAAAGACCCGTGGAAATCCGGGGTAGAATAGGTCTTCAGCAACCCATGCGGCCATGCTTCCCGTAAAAGACGACTATACTTGTCCTAAGAGGCAACTAACGGGATCGGGTTGTCAGGCTCGCTGACTTGGTTCATGCATGTCATCGATCCCAATTGCGTTGATCAATGCTCATGCTGTCAATCACTGGATTGCCTGATCCAGACTCGATTATTTACAGACCGCCGTCATATAGCTGGAATATTGCTGAGTGCGGCGTGAAACAAACAAGCAAACACACTAAAGAAAATATAAGAAGAAATACTTACACTTGACGGTTTCAACAAGAAGGAGGTGTGAAGTGGCAATCGAAAACCCTATCCTGTATTTATGTACATTGAGGAAAAGTGGTCATTCTGATGATTGATGACTGCTTCCGTTCGTATTCCATTGCGCGATATGGTGTGATAGCCCTTAATGAATAGATCAATCACTTTTTGCTCATTGGAACCCCGCCCGATGCCTGCCTCCGTCACAAAGTGGGCTGAGTCAGCATCGAATCACCCAAGGCACCTCAAAACGATTATGATCAAGCTAATTCCCAATGATTACTTTTAATAACTGAAAGCCATGCACGGACATATTAATAGGTTTAACGAATTTATGCAATTTTACTTCCTGAAACATTTTCTCTAACGGGTTGATAAAAAATAAATAGGATAAGATTATTACTTTAAGCTTTCGTTACTTTTAAGATTTAGCGTATTGCGCTGGAATATTTGTCCGAAATGTCTTCTCGTGTAATTACAAGGGGTAAATCCCTTGCCATAATCATAAGAGATGTCTGTTTCAGTTTCACTTTCATGTTGTTTAACGCCGCACTCAGCAATATTCCAGCTATATGGTGTCGGTCTGTAAATAATCGAGTCTGGACCAGACAATCCAGTGATTGACATCATTAACATCGATCCGCGAAATAAGAAATGTCTGATAAATGCAGAGTTCATTATACGATTCCGACTATATATTCCGAAGTCCATGATTGTGAGTCGATATCAAGTTATTGTGATACCAGTTGTTGGGGATAAAGTGAACATATCGCATCGGACATTTATGTGTCGACTTTAGAAATGTCATTACATCGCTACTATACAACTTTAGAAATGTCATTACATGGCTACTATACAACTTTAGAAATGTCATTACATGGCTCCTATACAACTTTAGAAATGTCATTACATGGCTACTATACAACTTTAGAAATGTCATTACATGGCTACTATACAACTTTAGAAATGTCATTACATGGCTACTATACAACTTTTGGAAGCGTTACTAAGGACCTGGATGCTGCACAAAGTTAAAAAATCAAATGTTTTGACATAATCGAACTTGTCCTTTCACCGTGAGAGTATTAATATTCAAGCAAATACTTTTATTTATTAGAATATACTTGGTATAACTCCAACGTCTTTCAAAAACTTTCTGGGAACGCGGCTCTGAAAAAAATTTCATTTACATCACTGCACATCAGCCTTATGTGAGTCAGGCCTCAGACGATTTGGCGAAACGGCCACCATCATGAGCTCGGGTACGTAGAAGGTGTTTTCAAAGTAGGAATCATATCCAGGGCGAGTCAAGTTGCCTTAGACGACGGGACCCCGAGTAAAATAAGAATATGATACAAAAGATGAAAATTATATTTGTTTGTACACTTGATAGGCTATACTCAGTGTTTACATACTTGCAAATGCCGCTATTTTAGAATCTACTTCAAACCTTTACTTATGAAGTGTCTGTGGGGAATATAATCCTGTCGTGCCAGTTACGCCCAACTGGATCGGCGGATAATGGGGGCTAGATATTATCTGGCATTGACGTTTTATATTTACTTGAACTGTGTCGATGTTTCTGTTGATGTACTGAAGTCTCCGAGTTCCATTTAACTATTATACTGAGTCTGAAGAAAATACTGAAGAAATGTTTAGTCAGAGATAGTAAAATTGCCACTCCAATTCAAAATTAGCATATCGTTTTCAGATAAGGATGAGTAAATGCGCTCTCGTGTAGCTCAATTTTCTGTCCATCAATTGACTGTCGGGTTTGTTTACAGGCCAAGTGATAGACAGAACATCAAGCTACTCGAGAGAGCCTTTACTGATCCCAAACTTAAAACGACATGCTAATTTTGACCTGGAGTGGCAATTTTGTTGTCGGGTTTGTTTACAGGCTAAGAAATAGACAGAAAATCAAGCTACACGAGAAAGCATTTACTGATCCCAAACTTAAAACGACATGCTAATTTTGACCTGGAGAGGCAATTTGTCTGTCGGATTGTTTACAGGCCAAGTGATAGACAGAACATCAAGCTACACGAGAGAGCATTTACTGATCCCAAACTTAAAACAACCTGCTAATTTTGACCTGGAGGGGCAATTTTGTTGTCGGGTTTGTTTGCAGGTCAACTGATAGACAGAAAATCAAGCTATATCAAGATATCAGGAATAAGATATAAGATAGGTGAAGTAGTCTGAGGTTTTAAGTATAGCACTGGATATAAGTAGGGGGAGAAATCTGAGCCTGACACTAATTAATGGGATATTGTTTAGGCGTAGTAGTCTTAGCCTTCAAATAAAACATTTGGATGTAGGAAAGGGGGAGTAGTTGAGCCTGATCCTCAAGAATCTGATATAGACTTGGGGGAGTAGTTTGAGACTGATCCTCAAGAATCTGATATAGACTTGGGGGAGTAGTTTGAGGGAGATATTAAAGAATCGGATACCGAATACGGGGAGTAGTTTGAGACTGATCCTCAAGAATCTGATATAGAATAAGGGAAGTAGTTGAGCCTGATCCTCAAGAATCTGATATAGACTTGGGGGAGTAGTTTGAGGGAGATATTAAAGAATCGGATACCGAATACGGGGAGTAGTTTGAGACTGATCCTCAAGAATCTGATATAGAATAAGGGAAGTAGTTTGAGACTGATCCTCAAGAATCGGATATAGAACAGGGGGAGTAGTTTGAGCCTGGTATTCAAAAATCGGATATAGAATAGGGGAAGTAGTTTGAGCCTGATACTCAAGAATCGGATATAGAATATGGGGAGTAGTTTGAGCCTGATACTCAAGAATCGGATACAGAATAGGGGGAGTAGTTTGAGCCTGATACTCAAGAATCGGATATAGAATAGGGGGAGTAGTTTGAGCCTGATACTCAAGAATTGGATGCAGGACAATAAATTATAGGTTAAGAAAAGTATAGTGATTTAAGAGCGGCACCTGGAGTTTTTCCAAGTAAAGTTAAATATAAAACTGTAATATAATAACTGGTACTAAAACATCTGATACACAATATTAGGGATTGTTCTTAACCTAACATTTCAGAACAGAAATTAGGAAGAGGGGTTGAAAACCTATATAATACAAGACATGTTTGATCTTTTCTGTAATCATTTTAATTATAAACGAGGGGAGTCATTTGGACTCAGTTGGGGAGTTAGCTGAGCCTAGAGGGAGTGTTTTGAGCCTGGTTAAGGGAGTCATGTGAGCCTAGGCCCATATGACTCTGGAGTCAAGTTTAGGGGGAGTAGTTTGAGCCTACTACACCGGGGTAGAACAGGTCTTCAACAACCAATGCTTGTCGTAAAAGGCGACTATGCTTGTCGTAAGAGGCGACTAACGGGATCGGCTGGTCAGGCTCACTGACTTGGTTGATGCAATTCATCGGATCCCGAATGCGTCGACTGATTCTCAAGATGTCAATCACTGGATTGTCTGGTCCAGACTCGATTATTTACAGACCGCCGGTAAAACAGTACAGTTTTTCCCTTTTCCTGAACATAGTCACTTCACTCCTCATTCTTCCTGAGACCGTCAAGTGTAAGTATACTTCTTTTATATTATATTTTCTTTAAACGTTTAGTAGCAGTGTCACAAACACAAGAAAACATGGTATTCCTTTTTCAATGAACAGGGTCGCATTTTGTTCTGTTGACGTTTCACGTTCCTCTGCTACACAGGCTTTGGTATTTCAATGGATACTCAAATCCCATGAGTGTATGTTTATTACAAACCTTATTGTTTGTTGTTAAACGTCGCAGTCCGAACTATTCCAGCCATATCACGGCGACCTGTCTCATGCAGGAGGCCAATAAACATAGCCTGATGACTCAATTAATGTTTTCGCCTCTTACGACAAGCATTTATTGCTGGGAACCTATTCTAAACTGGTACCCCAACACAGTTATGGGTCAAGGTACGTAAGTAAAACCGTCATGTACATACATACAACCTTGGAAAGGGTGAATAGTTGATTAAATGTGATGCATTCGTTATTCTCAAGACCGCCTCCATGGTCTCGTGGTAGAGGGTCAGCCCGGAGAGCGGAATGTCCGGGGTTCGATCCCCGGCCGCGTCATACCAAAAGACGTTAAAAGATGGTACATGTTGTAACCCTGTCTGGCGCTCAGTATTAAGGGGCTAAAACAAGGACTGGTCGTCTCGGAGTCAGTATACTGTGTCTGAGTAGGGTATTCATGAAGAATAGGTCTTCAGCAACCCATGCATGCCGTAAAAGGCGACTATGCTTGTCGTAAAAGGCGACTAACGGGATCGGGTGGTCAGGCTCGCTGACTTGGTTGATACATATCATCGATCCCAATTGGGTGGATCGATGTTCATGATATTAATCACTGGATTGTCTGGTCCAGACTCGATTTTTTACAGACCGCCGTCATATAGCTTGAATATTGCTGAGTGCGGCGTTAAACAACCAACCAACCAACCAACCAACCACCATGCTTGGAGTTTAACTCGCAACCGACTTACCCTTATGTTTACAAACAAGTGATGACAGTCGTGACGCCGAATACTTCCCCAAACGCTCCTGCTTAATTATGTTTTTTCGTTTGCCAATTTCAATTTCATTTCATCTTTTATGTAATTGGTATACTAAGAACATAATAGGTACATTGGGTCCTTATCCGTTAGCCTGCAATCTCGAACCAATCTGATTAAACAAACAAAACGTAAATTCATCTGTGAAATAATAAATCAGTCGTACACCTTTTCAAAATTCACTATGATAGCTTTCCAAAGACATACACAAAATATAAATGTCACTACATTTAGAGTCTGAGGGAAAGCAGCGATGTTACCGACAGTGTAACAAAGGTGTCACACTTGGAAGAAGCTTGTCGTGTCGACATCCCAAGGGGGACAACTCTGTTTGCTTGGAATGTAAAGGTTGCATTTGTGTTTTCGCTGGTATTACCAAAAATTGTGGGTTCAAATACCAGCATGACCATAATGTACAAAAGCTAACACTTTCGGAACTTTTATATACGTTTCAGTGTCACAGTGGATGTTGTTTTTTTCATTTCACTATTTTCTACATGAAACTGTCGAGCCAGAGAGAGCACTGTTTCTGATAAAACTCATTC